GCCTCTGTGTCCGGACCGGCTCTGGGGTCGAGAGCGACGCTGACCACTAACTCCCATCTAGTGTCGAGGTTGAGAATAAGTAGGAACTATATCTGCCCTCCCCGTGAGCGCCTAAGTGGCGCGTAGCGGGATAACTGTTTCTATACTGAATTAAAACAGGGAACAGGGAACAAGCAGAGTAGACCCTGTCTGACTGTTGGTGACTCTGATAAAATTAAATACTGACGATCCAACTGAAGAAGTCATAACAAGTCTAGTCTTGCTTTGTCAGAAGCATAGTTACTCGTGTGCCGTTCTTTGCCAGTCAGGAGAAAATGTGTCTGGTTACAAAACAGAACGTTTAATTGAGTCATAGAGTAAAAAGTACATCAATATTAATGGTAGGATGACTGCGAAACATAACCAGAAAGGATGTAGAATAAAACTTCCTGGGAGTGTTTCGAAACAATATTGAACAATTTCCGTTGGGCATATTGAGAAAAATCTCGAAAGTTCTCAGTGAGGACACCTGGTCTCCGAACCGGGATTCGAAAGCTTTTTTTTTTCTAAATACGAAAAACGAAACTGATAATCATGACGTCACTTCGTTCGATTTTACTGACTTAGCTGTCCGAACTCAGAGGTATTTAAATATACAATATATATTTATTTTTACAGTCCATACACAAACGTTGAAGTTAAATGATGTTGTTAAAATTATATAATATTAAAACATTATGTAGTATAAAATATTATATTTTAGCGCTTTTATCGTAAATACGATTTTACATTATTTAACGCTTTTTTATTTATTAAACGACATGTTTCGATGGATAATACCTCATCTTCAGGTTTATATCAATTTTACAATATTTTAAAATTGTTAGATATTTTTAGATATTTTTATGCAATGTATTTTATTGATCTGTGGTTTGTTTTGTTTGTAGATTTTCTATTTCCATGATGAGTTGTTTGTTTGTAGTCAGACGTTTATTTTCAAGATGTGTTGTGCGGAGTAACTTACGTCTGATAGCTGGTGAAGATAATCTGTAACTCGTGTATGGACTGTAAAAATAAATATATATTTAATCAACACAAACATGACGCATTTAAGCTACAAATTAAATATACAAGTCGTCTGTTTTAGCTAGACCTACAATTTTGGGCGCGCAGTGATCTCCATTTGCATTTTAATGTTTGATAATACGCTAATTCGTATCGGATTTAGAATATTAATATAGGTAATATGACAACACACATCTTTAACTAAGCCCCCACCATTTTTTCACGTTATGCGCATATCAGCGGACAACCTAAAATTGTCTTGCTGTATACAACTATGAATGTGACGTTCATTTATGTGTGTGGGTTTCAGTGCGAAAGTATGGTGATGGCGGCTTATCAGAGTCCGTGGTACGAGGCCAGTGAGGAGTTCAAAAGCAGCGTCCGTATCATGGTAGTGCGAGCTATGAAACCTTTCAGACTTTCTGGTGGAAAACTCTACATAATGTCTCTGGATACATTTGTGGCGGTAAGATGATTTAACGATTCTAAAAAGTAGGGGGGATTGTGCCTTTAAGTCAGCAGGGCTTTTGCATGACAAACAATTCTCCATCTGCCACTTTTCAAAGCAACTGTTTATCCGTCATCTGGTAAACATTGTAAGTTTTACAGTCTTTTACAATTTATGTTCTTCTAAAATCGGGATTTTTTACTGCAGTTAAATTTCTTCTAAAAGCGATTGTAATATACATTAAACCGATTCACAGTTCATTCGTTTGAACGAAAACTTTAAATTTTGTTTTGATAACTCAACATTACTTTTAACGCGTTCTTTGCACCATTTCATACAATAAATCGTGCTTACTTCGTCGGTATATTTTATCTCAGGAACCATTCAACAATTTTCGATAATAATATGCTACTGTTAGTGTATATGAAAAGAAATTAGGAAACTTTTATTATGTCCTGTACTGTTAAAATATACGTAAAGTCTAAATCGAACTTTATCGATTTTCTCAAAAGGTTTGTATACAAAAAAAAGTATGCACATACCAAAATAACAGAAACCTCATTATGATCTACGTTTGAGCTTGGCAGCCATCTCCGAATATAAAGTCGTATACAAAATATAAGATGGCTGCCCCTTCTTCAACTCAAAAGTTCGCACGACTGTCATGGTATGCCGTCTCTACAGAATTTGGCAAAAAATGGTCTATCTGTTAAACGTATTTAAATTATTGGACGGAAAGACGTATTCTGATCGTTGTTTTTTTTAAGAAAAAATGTCGATTCTTGGGATGTCTAAAAACGGTGAAGTGTAGTATGAATAACTCCAAGTGCGAATTTTTCAAGTTCGAGAAAGTTTCTAAGTCGATGGGTTAGCATAAATACAGAGCGTCCAAAAAAAAAATGAATACACATTATAATATGGAATATTAACCTTGGCATTGATCTCCATGTGTTGTGTTTACGTGGGGGCCTAGTGTGGTCAACACTTAACAGATGGCACCACAATATATGCTGATGCGCAGAATTGAGAAGGTTCCAATGAGTTTCGAGCAACGCAAATTAATTTTGAAGAGGTAATATAAATTCGAAAATGTGCTTGAAGTGAAAATTTAAATTTGAATTTAAAACGACTCTACCAACACGAGTAACAATTATAAGAAATCGAGACAAATGTGAGACGTTCGATACTTGTACAACATGCGTAAGCAACTACTATAAGGTAGACCGCGCACATCAACGACTGAGGACACTTCTGCTATGGTATTACAGCAGTTCGCACGATCGCTGAAGGAATCTTTAAGGCGATGAGATCGAGATTTCCAACTCAAGTGCACAACGGATTCTCGAAACATGCATAAGTGGAAAAACAACGCACCAAGGTTATTGCGTGCAATGGCTGAAAACGATCCTGGCCGCAGATTTGAGTTTTTGAGAATGGATTCAGAAGGAGGTGGGTGAGAATGGACAGTTTCTGGCACTGATGAGGCGACAGTTAAGCTGAATTCCCAACCAACAACAGTTCAAGAGCTCTGGCAAGAAATTGAACGGTCTTGCGCATGCGCCCGAGCAGAAGCTGTGGTGTCCACTTGTCAGTCAGTTGTTCACCGCTGTCAACTGCGCCACGAAGCTAACGGTGGCAATTTTGAGCACCTGCACTAGATTCGCCAATTCACTAAGCGCCAATGCTGACGTAAGTTACTATTTAGTATTTTGAAATGTATTTCTTTTATTCATCGGATGTATGTGTGTGCGTATATATTACATTGTGCATATAATACATGTGGTTTTGCCCCTGTACAACAACATGAAGGAGCACAGATGTTACACTACATTTAGAACAGTGGTCGCATTCACGTTCGTGTCTCGTAGAAAGCCCTTGGAATCTATTGGAAACAACGTTGGCTCAGAGCTGGTCTGTACGTGAGAGCAGAAAGATATCCGTGCTCTTAATTTAGTGTGTAATGAACAAGCTCAGAAAGTAGATTACGTAATGAAAACATAATATCTTCATTCGTTGTTTTTAAAGTGCATTTAAAGGTATTAAATCCATCTTCTTCGATAGTTCCCACTTTGGCCACCACATCGCAGCATCTCAGTCTCCACCTCACGACTTTCATAAATCGTAGATTTATCATCATCGCTCGTAGGATATTAAAAAGCGGGATTTTGACGACGTGCAGAATGGCACAAACTCCCATATCAAATTTCATCCAAATCCGTTCAGTGGTTCTCGAAATAAATCGACTGGACAGACGGACAGATAGACTGACGCACATTCTCGCTATGCATTTTGTGAAAAGATCGCATTATAACTAGGAGGGAACATGGCCGATTACAGTCTAAAATCGATGTTACGTGTTTCACATTATAATATGGAATATTAACCTTGGCATTGATCTCCATGTGTTGTGTTTACGTGGGGGCCTAGTGTGGTCAACACTTAACAGATGGCACCACAATATATGCTGATGCGCAGAATTGAGAAGGTTCCAATGAGTTTCGAGCAACGCAAATTAATTTTGAAGAGGTAATATAAATTCGAGAATGTGCTTGAAGTGAAAATTTAAATTTGAATTTAAAACGACTCTACCAACACGAGTAACAATTATAAGAAATCGAGACAAATGTGAGACGTTCGATACTTGTACAACATGCGTAAGCAACTACTATAAGGTAGACCGCGCACATCAACGAGTGAGGACACTTCTGCTATGGTATTACAGCAGTTCGCACGATCGCTGAAGGAATCTTTAAGGCGATGAGATCGAGATTTCCAACTCAAGTGCACAACGGATTCTCGAAACATGCATAAGTGGAAAAACAACGCACCAAGGTTATTGCGTGCAATGGCTGAAAACGATCCTGGCCGCAGATTTGAGTTTTTGAGAATGGATTCAGAAGGAGGTGGGTGAGAATGGACAGTTTCTGGCACTGATGAGGCGACATTTAAGCTGAATTCCCAACCAACAACAGTTCAAGAGCTCTGGCAAGAAATTGAACAGTCTTGCGCATGCGCCGGAGCAGAAGCTGTGGTGTCCACTTGTCAGTCAGTTGTTCACCGCTGTCAACTGCGCCACGAAGCTAACGGTGGCAATTTTGAGCACCTGCACTAGATTCGCCAATTCACTAAGCGCCAATGCTGACGTAAGTTACTATTTAGTATTTTGAAATGTATTTCTTTTATTCATCGGATGTATGTGTGTGCGTATATATTACATTGTGCATATAATACATGTGGTTTTGCCCCTGTACAACAACATGAAGGAGCACAGATGTTACACTACATTTAGAACAGTGGTCGCATTCACGTTCGTGTCTCGTGGAAAGCCCTTGGAATGTACTGGAAACAACGTTGGCTCAGAGCTGGTCTGTACGTGAGAGCAGAAAGATATCCGTGCTCTTAATTTAGTGTGTAATGAACAAGCTCAGAAAGTAGATTACGTAATGAAAACATAATATCTTCATTCGTTGTTTTTAAAGTGCATTTAAAGGTATTAAATCCATCTTCTTCGATAGTTCCCACTTTGGCCACCACATCGCAGCATCTCAGTCTCCACCTCACGACTTTCATAAATCGTAGATTTACCATCATCGCTCGTAGGATATTCAAAAGCGGGCTTTTGACGACGTGCAGAATGGCACAAACTCCCATATCAAATTTCATCCAAATCCGTTCAGTGGTTCTCGAAATAAATCGACTGGACAGACGGACAGATAGACTGACGCACATTCTCGCTATGCATTTTGTGAAAAGATCGCATTATAACTAGGAGGGAACATGGCCGATTACAGTCTAAAATCGATGTTACGTGTTTAATTCTCATACTTATTTTAATTTATTTATTCATACATTTATTTAGTAGTTGTCACTATTATTCATTCATGCAATCATATATGTATCATCGTTCAAATGTATTCTGTAATTCAATGCTCTATTATTCATTCGTTGTTTCCAGTGTGTCGAATTATATATTCATTTGTTTTTTTCGTTCCTTCAACTGTACGAAGGCAGAATGTTTTCTGAAATATAAATTCCTACTGAAGTACGAACACATATGTAGCCGGATGTCTTCGAAAAGTTGGAGGAGCTTTATAAGAAATCATTCCACGACTGATTTGATATTATCTAATTAATTAATTAGAAAATTCAAAGTGTGACCCAATCCTCTCTTTCGTCACACGCAGTCTCTCTGAGATCCTTAACCCTTATTCGTTTATGCTTAATATAATTCTGCTCACGGAGCACACATCTGGATCCTGCCTACGTTAATGGAGAAACGGGCTGGCAGTGGAGATTGAACTAGTATTAGATTTGATCCGCCATACATTTCTGATACATGGACACACACTGGACTCTTTTAAAGCACCAACAGATTGAACACCACGAACAGATTTCCCACAGAGTGTACAAATATGGGATTTATTGGCTATCCGAGGAACTATCAGCTTCTGGAGAAAGACTGTTACCCATGGAACGAGTTTGTAAAGGCTGGTGAAGGCAAGATGAAACAACGCAAACACAATATAGAACTAAAACTTATAAAAAATTGTATTTGATGTTCATTCTCTAGGTAGTAGAATTCCATGTTTTTAATTCTCCTCAGAGGTATAATCGAAATTTTATTTTTTAGAAGTTCCACCTTTTTTATACGTTATACGTATACATCATGAGCCGGGATAGCTCAGTCAGTATAGTGACTAGCTACGGGCTGGACGACCGGGGTTCGATCCCCGACGGGGGC